CCTGTGGTTCTCCGAGGTCTCGGGAATCGGGGAAAGATGATTCTCCATTATCACCTCGATCACGCTCACGAATCAAAGGCAAATGCGATTTACCCCGTTAGGGTAAATGTAACCCAATTCAATGTTCACGGCGAATGTTGACTTTAAACTCAACTGTAAGGAACTGAACGTCCGTCCAGGACAGGCCTTTTATACAAGGTTGCGGCAATCTTGAATTGAATAGAACTTAGCTGCTAATTTCCATTCCTTGACCTTTCTCGGTGAGCATTCGGGAGCCCGGATGTATCCAGATACTTCACAGTTGACGTGCATCTCCTGCTCAGCATCTCTTCTTTATGCTAAGATAAAATTCAAAATCTCTTCTTGGCCTCATTTGACCTCGGGGGCTCACAATATTCTTCTAATTCCAGGAGTGTCCATTTCTGGAATTGAGTCCATCTGAGTCAAAGTGTTCGCCAACTCTCCGTGCGTTGAAAAAGCAAACGAAAGCATAAAAACGCATCACCAATGACGCATCATGCACGAAATTCATGATATTCACGACACTCCATGCTTTCTAGAGCAATTGACAGTGATGGTCGTGGCTCTCATGAATTTTTCGATTTACAAGGCACAAATTTTCTATTCATATCATGAATATTTTGTAAACTGCCTATTTTTCCCCAATATTTCTTCGTATTCCCTATCTTAGAACGCGATCAAAGATACGGTACGAAAAGATATATCATGCACAGGAGGCTCTTGGCCCTTCGCACTGAAATTCCAGCTAAACTTCCAATCATTTAAACTCATCCCACCCAATTTAAACCCTACCTCTACAGTATATATGGATGAATAACATGATTATTCGTATTTCACCATCTACTATTCCTTCGTGATGGTGTGTGCCTATTATATTTCGTGTGCCTATCGTATCGTAATACGATAAGCACCTTTAGTTCTGCCAGAAAAGGTATTTTCCTTCTCTATCTTGCCTTCACTACATTATTCAAGACTTGAAGGAGGGTTATATAACCGAACGAGAAGTCGAAACTCCTTCGAAACAGCAGAATACGAATCGCATGGGATGACGCCCCTAATAGTAAGGAATTATAGTTTCGGATTGGCGGGTGGTCTGTGCAACCATTAGGTATTGAAGACATCCCAAGTAACACAAGATATTCCAGCAACGTTTAGGAAATGTTGATGAACAATGTTGCATCTATGTGTAAATGTCCAAAACGTCAACGTTGCTCAAATGTTGCGAAGGAACATTGCATTTACGTTGCAAATCGCTACTTATTCATTACATATACATTGCAGATACGTTTCATGATTTATGTTGCTGCAATGTTGATTAAAAACGCCACCCAATCTGGGCCTATATTGGCATTACGGAAAAGCGTAGGCTTCACTGGTCCTGAACTGGACCGATATTCGACCAATATTGAATTATTTATTTCATCCTTTCGTACCATATACACTGCTCAAAACAATTAGGGGATAATTTAGTTTCTGTTGGATAATTATAAATTTCTGCAAAGAATTATAACTATTGTGTACTTTATACATGAATACGTATTTCTTACTCATGGATAGGGTGTAATTGATGAGACATTGTTTAAATAATCGATATTTATTACGAATTTAACAAATAATACATTTTAGCATGAAATAATTTTAACAAGAATAACAACAAGAATAGCCAAAAACGCTTTTGTTAATTTTTAAGAGGGCGTATGGTCTCCATTAACAGTCAAAACAGCGGTACATCTTGTTTGCATGGACCGGATAAGATGATCAAATAGTTCTTGTGGGATATTTCCCCACTCTTCTGTGAGAGCAATTTCGAGTTCTTGAAGCGATCGTCGTGGCACCAGTCGAGCAGAAACGCGCCTACCTAAAGCATCCCAGGCAAATCCGGTGAACAGGCAGGCCAGTCCATTCGTTCAATACCTTCTTCCTCAAACCACTCTTGTACCAAATTTGCACGGTGTGGACGAGCATTGTCATCCATAAAAAATAATTCTTAGCCAATTGCAGCAGCATATGGACGAACTATAGGTTGCAAAATCGCATCGCGATACCTTTGGGCTGTTAAGGAACCNAACTGGGATTGAGATGGCATTTCGTGTTTAACCTGGTGTTACACCGGCGTGAAACACCGGGAAAACATGGTGTTACACTAACACCACAAGGCGAGTTCAAATTAGGTGTTACGGGGTGGAGTTCGTGTTACACGGAACACTAATACGGAACACCAACACCGAATTTGAACTCACTCAGTGTTAATGTCGGTGTTAGTGTTAACACCGAAGCTGGAGAAGCCTCTTAACACCAACACCGGGAAATAACACCAACACCGAATACCAACACCCGATTTGAACTCACCCAATGTCAAGAGGCCTATGTGTCAGGTGGTAAGCTCCAGCAGAGGGGGTGTATCCCGGTGCTCCAAAGGCCTGGGGTAAGTGGGCCTACCCTCCCCCCCTGCATTTAAAAATATTTTTGCATTTACGTTGAAGGTTAAGGTGTGGCTAATCGGACGGTGGTGCTACTCCGTCATGATTTATTTTGTATGCCAAGATAGGCCTTCAGAAAAACCTTTTAAACCTTTATCAGTCATTCAACTACATCTTCCACCCGAGAACGGAATATGTAAATGGTGAAAGCATACCGAATAAATCGTGACCGATTAGCCCCACCTTACCCTCTTTGGATTTTTCAAGCATTTACAATTACGTCTTCTATTAAGGTGTGGATCATACCTTGCTTAAGAAAAATTTTGATCGAATGTCTTGATGGAAGTCTTGAGCGCATATTGACATATTGTCTTGCCAGTATGGAATACCCAAGCAGCCATTTTGATCCAAAATAAATCCATTGGACATACCCTAATGGACACTTGGACATCCAATGTATATCCTCCTCGGACATCCCCTGGATGTCTCGTCCAAGGAAAAATCTTGGACATGTCCATTGGATGGACTTTTGTATGTCCCTCTCTTTGGTTCCATTCGAGATTCCCTTAGGGAAAGCTTTTGGATGACCATTTAGGGCTTCAGCAATAGTAATCCCCAGGTAGCTATGGAGCATAATTTGCATGCTCATGAATGTTCTTGGTATGGGAAAGGAGCATTTTCTGCATATTGACAGTCTCGTCCTCTCACGTTCCCATGAGGAACTAGGAATGGCGTGATTGGAAGGGAAGTGAAGCATTATTGAGCCGAAACCCTCCACTTTGTAAGTTCTTATCTCTCAATCAGCAAAATTGTTTTCCCCATCATAGGCAGCATGGATCATACAGGAAGGGAACAGACTTTCTTGACAAGGGGAACCACACTCTCACCATGCAATGTGCAAGAATTGCCGGAAGTGTCCTTGAGTTATGTTACATCTCTCAACATATATAGTAATTAGAATGACTTCATTCCTTAGGGTTGTACGCGGGAAATTATCGAGTAGAAGATGAAAGCTTACACAGAACAATTCATTAGCATTTTGGGAATCGGGAGATTTTCAGCGTCGGAGTGAACGCGACCTCGCGTATAATGTTTCCTTGTATGAAATATGTATGAAGTATGTATGAAGAATGTATGAAGTTCCCTTAAGGGAACTTCATATACCTTGAATAAACTGCTAGATCAGGTCAGATGGAAGGCCTCAACGGGGCTGAGATTCCATCCAAGGACATCCAAAGGAAGACCATAAGAAGTTGTCCTTGCTGGACAACTTCCATTGCTGGACGTCCAATGTATGCCCAAAGTAGGACTGCCAAATCGTTTCGTTCATATTGTCGAAATATAAATGAAATCATGCACTGGTCCAATCATAGGAGGAGGATAAATGTGACTTTATTCCAACCAATGTATCATAAGGGGCAGAGGTAGCAGAAACACAGAGTCACAACGTGATGGGCAAGTCTCTGAGCCATTGCAAGGCTTCTGGGGAGGCTTGGTGGATCTCTGATAGTCCTCCTGGGAAGGCGAGGTCTGGGCACTCTTCTGCGGGGGATTCGGTGTATCCCCACTTGTGGAGGAGTCCCGCGCACCTTCCCTGTAGGGTCCTGAAGCGGTTGATGGAGACCCACTCCCTTCTGGGGAGTTCCATGCCTGGGGTTTCAGTGATGGGATCTTCAATTATATCATAATGTCACACTGTCTATATATTGATTGAAATTATTGGGTTGCGACTTACTTATGAGAGATTAGAAGAAGAAAAATAAAAATAAATTCCACGATCGAATCTTCGTAGCACCATTCCATAACGCCATTCCATGTTCTTTCGCAACATTTGAGCAACGTTGACGTTTTGGACATTCTATAGAAGCAACATTGTTCAACATTTCCTAAACTTTGCTGGAATATCTATTGTTACTTGGGTATGAGGTAACTCGCTGTGTTTGACAAGTAGTCACAATCGCACTCCGGGGTCAGGAAATATTGCTTCTTCGCATGTCTCGCAGTCGCCAGTTGTCTCGCCTGAGACCTGTTGACCAGATAATATTCTCATAATATTGCTCTTTTTAACATAGTCAACGTTGACTCAATGTTGAAACATTGATTCCGTACTGAATTGTCATTTGAAATAGGATAGGATGGAGCTATTCAGTCACGATTTATTTTGTAAGCTATCATAGCTTACAAAACAGAAAAACCTTTGAAACCTCAAACGGGCATGTCATTCAACTGCATATTCCGCCCAAGAACGAAATCTGTAAATGGTGATTACTTATCGAATAAATCGTGACCGATCAGCCCCACCGCCCGATTTTACAACTCAATACTGAGTCCACAGAAATGTCGTAGTACGATACCTTTCGTCGACTCTCATCAACGCTGCTTATATTGGATATTCTCTTGTAGGATATGACACAAAATCTATTGCTGGAGGGATGGACAACCCAGCATATTCAGCTAATCTTCATTATAATGAGGCGAGTTTTAATAGCCAATGACAAGTTTGCCTCAAGGCTGCTCTTGTAAAGCAGTGTTAATTCCATCTAAAATGATCTGTCAGAGATGGATTATTTTGTGCTACAGGAAGAGCAGCAAGGACGGACCACAGTGGCAACCTTCCTCAGCTCTTTGGGAGATCACAGTGTTACCGTTGGTGATAACCCAGCTGATCCAGACTCAAAAAGGCCAACTGGAGCTGAAATGGGCACTATGATTGGTGTCTATCTTCCATGCTTGCAGAGCATATTTGGAGTTCTTCTCTTCATAAGATTGCCATGGGTCGTTGGCATTGCAGGCGCTTTGCAGGGTTTCATTGTTGTCTTCATATGCTGTTGTATTGTAAGGATCTTTTACCAGCATCCCCTTTCGGGATATATGTTTGCAGTTGAGAAGCATTTTCATTGATGTATTGATGTCTGGTGTAATACACTAGACACTTCTGACTTCCATTTCAATGAGCGCTATAGCTACGAATGGTGTTGTACCAGCTGGGGGCTCGTATTATATGATATCACGAGCCCTGGGCCCTGAATTTGGTGGCGCTGTCGGTCTGCTCTTCTATTTAGGCAACACAGTTGCAGGCGCTATGTACATAATTGGAGCTATTGAAATTCTTCTGGTATTTTGAATCAGATACCACACCTTGATTGACTATCTTTCGAATTTCTCATCAATTTGTTGTCTTTTGCCATTTCAGCTCTACATAGCCCCGGGCATGTCTGTTGGAGGAGATATTGAAGTGGATCTAGAAGCCCGTTTCAATAACTTCCGTCTTTATGGCACTGTCTTGCTTTTTCTTCTCTGTTGTATCATCTTGATTGGGGTCAAGTTGGTAAATGTGTTTGCAAGCATTGCTCTTGCAGGCGTGCTCTTGTCCATATTGGCAATCTATGTAGGAATCTTCGTGAATGTGGATGGGAGTGACAACATAATGTAAGAAAGTTTCTTGCACAATCTCACATCTTCAGAGGGGTTATTCATAGGTTATTCTTGTCTAGGATGTGCTTGTTGGGGAATCGTCTCCTCAATGAAGACAAAATTGGAGGAAATTGTTCAAAGGAGTTTGGAACCCCTCTTTTCATGTCCCTCTGTTCATTAAGAGACAATGAATCTAGTCTCATCAATGAGAGCAGTTATCAATGCGATCCGTACTTCAACGAGAATGAGGTCCATTTGGTCCCTGGTATCCCTGGTCTGAGTTCTGGCGTCTTCCTCGGTGAGTTTCCTTTAAATACTTATAGCGGATGATTCTGATAGAATCCATGTACATTTAGCGTGATCCACCTTCGGTGAATCAACATTAATTCAACATTTGGCGTCAATGTTACTGATGTTCAAACAACATTGGTCTGTCAGTGTTGATTCTATATTGAACTTCCTTGGCAGGGAAGGTTGGTGAATATTTTGGAGGTTTACTCGATCCATGAGCAAGGGCTTTCGACAATTGATGTGCCTTCGAACACAGATGACCACTAGGGTGGACCAAAATATTTGCAAAGGAAACAGTTCCAAACCCTGAATTGAATTTCGCCGAGTTGATCAAGTGATATTAGTGTTCCATGCCATAAGATAAGAAATTTCAATTGACCTTGGGGGAAGTTCAGGTAAAATTCTGCTAAAAACTAAACTTGCCGAAATGATTAGGCTGTCAACATTTTGTAGAAACTCTTTGAACTCTGCTAGTAAGGCGAAGGCTTATGTGATTGTTGAAGAGGTTTTTCACACCCTGGAAAAGAGTATATCGTACCAACTAATTTTGTTCATTGGGGAGGCAAATGCTTTTCAATACAGACCTAATTTTCTTAGCTCAAAGGCTCAAAATTTTCTGTTCATTTTCTCTCAGACTTGAACACTTTCAGATGAACACTTTCACAGGCATTTTCTCTTCCGGATTCCTTGATTGGAGCTAGATGCACCTGTTTTGAATCAGCTTAGCTCACATGGAAGAAAGTCACGTCCATATTGATACATGGCCCGGCAGCACAATACATTGGACACAGAAGTGGCCTAACATCGCAGTGGGCTGCCCGTGTTGGCCCCACATTGGCGCTAGGGCCGCAGCCATTTGTCATGACTCAGGATACGACATCTATCTCAGTTATTTGAACAAAAAGCTTCCCACAGTTGATGTGAGATGGCAAGTATGCAGCCGCTACTTCAGTGGGATCAAGGAGTGATTCATTAATTTAAGACCCCAGTACCTTTCTTGCGGTACTTGATCCATTTCCATAAAGAACATGAAGGAAGACATTCGAATTTCCCAGTTCATTTGTTTTAATAGATTGAACAGTCCAAACAGACTCTTGTTAATCGTGGAGGAAGCATGATTCAAATTGGGGTTTCACTCGAAATAGGAAGGATAAAAGAAAGTCTTTTTTTTATAAATAGAGGCTGCGTCTAGTTCCCCTCGGGGAGGTTCGGGTGTGAATAAAGATATGATCATTCAGATCCTGCCAGACAAGCATTTCCATAGTAGACGAATGACTTAATGGGGCTCAAATCCTGTTATGGTCCCTAGTTGGGGAGCTGAACAATCACGTACGGAAATAAAACCTCAATCGAAACCTCCTTTAATCCCCTGAATGTCATTGCGCACGTCGGCATTTGACGTTGGCCCAACGTGGGGCCTCGGGACAAGCCTACGTGGGACCTACGTCGGAAACCAACGTTGGGCCCACATCGCAGAAGTTTCATTCCAACATGGGCCCAACGTGAGTGTGCTGCCGGGGCACATGGACAGCCCCCTGCGATGAGTGCCCACGCTCCACCACTAGCAGCCAACGTAGGCCCGACGTTGTGAGCTGCCTTGGTTATGGCTACCGTGTGATGCATTTTCAAAAATATTTCACAAAGACGTATTTAAAAAAGTATATTTCTATTAGAATGTTTTCTTGGTTAAGACAGTAGGAATCAACTTCTTTTTTATTATAGAGAACATCCAGTCGTCTTATTTGTACTCTGGAGCCCACCTGTTACAATTTCATGAAAAGGATAGTGTAGGTGAGGTTGATATTGGTGAATCCTCACCATTCGTCCATGCAGATATGACAACCACCTTCATTGCATTGACCGGGATTTTCTTCTCTTCCGTCACTGGTAGGTCCCATTCTTTGCCCATTGATATATGGATTTATTTTGCATATTTAATTCTGTAAATGCCGTTTTTGCCCCCCCCCCCCAAAAAAAAGGGACAAAAATGACATTTTCAGAAAAAAAATGTGTTTAAAGAAAAAAGAAAAAGCATTTTAAAGAAAATGTTTGGTTTTTTTTTGACGGAGGGAGTGGGGTGCCTCTTTTTTGGAGAGGTTCCAATTGCAATTCTTCCCGTTTTCATTATTCCTCCATATTCAGAATTTCTTTTTAATTTTTCCTGCATTTACATCATTGCAAATGCGTGTCGGGACGAGCATAAAGATGCCTACTGAAACGTCTGTAGATGCGGATTGACGTAGATTGATGAAATTGGTTTCATTTTCAAGCTTTACATGAAGTTCACATGAAAATTAAGGTTAAAAGGTCTATAGGTTCGGTCTTTGATCTTTGATTTTCGATAAGAGGTCATTTGTTTTTTGTTTAAAAAAAAAAACTCTAATGAAATTCACAAATTTTCCTCCTTGGATACACCAACATGCAACAGAAAGATTACAAATTATTGCCCGTATCTTTTGATCCCATGGAAGGCCCAAATTCAAATCAGATGCATCCAAAAAGATAAAGGTGCGAATGTCTTTTGCAATCTTTTGGTGGGGAATGGGGGGACATCTTTTACTCGATATTGAAGTTCACTTTTTTTATCGTTGACCTTGAAAATGTCTAGAAATGAACATGACATGAAGGGTCAATAGAAGCGCTAGAAAATTACAATAACTTCATCTCTTTAATTATAGCAAAACTTATGGGCGCTTAGTGAAGACCACCGACCCAGAATTAACACTCTTTTGGCAATCGAAGTGCATCAAAAACCACTTGACCTAGAAAACTGAAAGTGCGAATTAGATTCTCAATATGCATATGGCATGCAGTGCTTGCGTCCCGTTTACAATTCACTTTGAATGCTTGAAATCTCCTTCATTTCAGCACAAACTTTAACTTAGGGAACAAAATGATCCCACATTACCAAAACGCTTGGCCCAATATTGGCCCCTTCATGGCAACGTCGGTGGATCCCCCAGTAGCACCAGATATAGGCCCAATGCTGGACCGACATTTGGTACGTTGGCTAGATCTTGGGCAATATTACCAATATTGGGTGAATGTTGGGGAAACAATGAAATTCCGATATTGCTATATCATTATTCATCCAATATTGGACCAATGCGGTGATCCAATGTGCCCGACCGCACTTGAAGTTATCCTTCAGGCCACCAGATGGAGGAAAAGGTCTCGCTTTTCTCACAGTACACAGAAGTACCCGGAAGGACGATTACAGGGAAAGAGGGAACTCTTTCCCTGTAATCGTCCTTCACATGAGTGTTTAGTTTAGTTTAGTAGTAGTAGTTTAGCTATATGTCTCACCTAGTCTCATTATAGCAATCAATAAAGTCGGACAATTCATCATTAATTATCTGCATATTCGAGACAGAATCATAGAGTCCAGGAAATAAAGAATCTCATATTCTCTATGAGATCCCTACGTACACGTAGGGATCGACACGTAGGGATTACTACATCCGAAAGGAGACTTAGAACTTAGAAAATATTTGTTGAATCAATCCTCCGTTTCTTTATCCTGAGGACAAAATGAGGGACTGCATTCACAAGTACTGCGTAGAAAAATAAGAAATTTGACTTTCTCCTGAAATGTACTAAAATTAGTACCTTCAGGGGCAGTCAACCTCGGTACTATTCCATGTCTCATGCTTATGCACGGGAGAGACTTGTGCATGGGCAAGGGGCTATTCTCGTACAGGCCATACTAGTACTGCATAGTGAAATGCCTTCATCATTGGAATGCCTCTATAGGAAAAAAAATTACGGAAAATATTAACGCCAATATTGACGCAATGTTTTTCCGTGTAGTAAAGCCAATAATGGTCCAAGATGGATGCCAATGTAGAGCCAAGATGTATACATCTTGGCGGTATAATTGACCCAATATTGGGGTGCTACTGGGGTCGTCGGCATTGGCAGGCATGCTTGGCCAATTGATTGGCCAATGAATGATTGAAGCCCAATATTGGATCCAAGAAACATACATCTAGGGTCAACATTGGCACCCCTTCATGGACCATTATTGGGATGACTACTGGGCCCTTTGTTAGCCAATATTGGCGTTAATATTTTCTCTAAATTCTTTATCTAGTGGAAGTATTCCCAAGATGAAGGCTTTTTTATTTGCAGTACTAATGCAGCCTTTGCCAGTACAACCCTTGCTTATGCACATCAAAGAAATAGAAGACAAAGAGTATGCACTCCCTCGCAGCCACCTGGTGCCGGGTGTAATTACTATGGCCGGTGCGTGCGACACTGACGCTCTAGCGGAGAGAGTGGAGAAGCTCAGCCAAGTCCAGTTCTGGGACTTGTCGTGCAGCAATAAATTCTCTTCAAAAGAACAGAAGAATCTCCCTATAATCATCGTTCTATGAGTTTTCCGTGTTGAGTCCATGGGTTGAGTGGTCGTAGGATTTTTTCAAGTAGACACACTTTGTCTCCAACTTGTGTCAAGTTCATTTATTTTTAATATCTCCTCTGATAACGTGTGAGATTCCGGCTCTCCTGCATATGACATTCCAGATGAATAAGAAATACTCCTACGAGGTTTTAAAAAAGTTCACCAAAGGTAATAAATTTTCTAAGCTCCAGTTCGCAATGGGGAAGCATACCTCACTGATCCTTCCCAGGTACTTCATTTAGGCTCGCTCTAACATGACAGAGTGGAGACGGTAGGCTCTCTTGGAGATGAATTTTTTACATGTATAAATACTTTCCCCCCCATTTTTCAAATTAAAGGGGCGGATTTAGTCAAATATATCCCACACCAATACTGAACTGAGGCCGCCTGCGTTCCACCATGTTAGGGAGAGTCAATATGACTTACCAGATGCGTCAATAAGTTCTCGTCCTCACTCAAAAACGAAGCACGCACAGATTTTATTTCACTATCAATATTTAATGCATTGAAAATCATTTTCAATGACATGCTGCAAACGACCATGCAACATTCTAACGCAGGATTTGTAAAAAGATTTTGCTTGCTGTTAAACCACTCTTGCACGGTCGATTTCAGCTCATCCTCGTCACCAGAATGCATTTTCGAAGGTCCTTTTTCAGATTTGCCAGCAGACAATATCGAATCAGAGTCCTGTACTCATCGTATAATCTGGAAATGACCCCAGCTATTTGCAAATATGAAAAGGATCGTCGAAAAATGCAATTTTTGTGACGATGATGAGCTGAAGTCGACCGTGGAAGAATGGTTTGACAACAATAATTCGTATTTTTATGAAGCCGGTATTAGAATGCTACATGATAGTTGGCAGCATGCCATTGAGCATGATTTTGATTATATTAAATACTGATAGGAAAATAAAATCTGTGGCTTGCTTCGTTTGTGAGTGAGGCCGAGAATTTATTGATGGACTTGGTACTTGGCGAGGAGCAGACGTGTGCAAATGTAGATTGACTCTTCCCTGCAATTTTCGGTACTTCAGCTTGGGAATGCTTTTCGAAACATGACACAAATATTTTTGTCACCTACAAGTCAATATCTTTCGCTTGGTTGGTCTCTTTCCTCTAAAATCTTCCCAGGAGCGGCTACCCAGGAAGGGGGGGGGGGGGGGAAAAAAAAATAAATAAAAAAATAATACTGGAACAAAATTCACATCTACCAAAAGCGAGATTCGGTGATCTCCACAACCTCGTGGAGATGGAGCTTCAAATTTGCTGGAGCGATTCTGTGTTAAGAGAGGAAGAAGTATGCCAAATTTCGTTCCTGTTGATTCTCTCAGAGAGAAATACGAGACGGTTGAATTTTGTCGCCGGAAGGGGTTGAAGAAAGGTAATGGGCGCTATCATTGATTAGAACATGGAAAATATCCACTCAACCCTCCGTTTCCTCATCCTGAAGACATAACGAGGAAACAATGGATTGAATTTGCAGATACTTCGTAGAGCAGTAAGGAGTGGACATTCCCTGAAATGTTCTACAATTAGTACATTCAGGGGAAGATCAACCTCTGTCCTGTTCTTTCTCCTGCCTATCCATGGGATGGACATGTGCATGGGTAGGGGATTGTACTGGTACAGGCCGTACTAGTACTGCAATTAGAGATGCCTTCACCATGGGAATACTTCCTCTGGATAAAAAATTTAGAGAAAATATTACTGCCAATATTGGCCGGGTAGTAATACCAATAATGAATGATCCAAGATGGTTGCCAATGTTGACCCTAGATATATGCTTCTTGGATCCAATATTGGGGTGCTACTGGGGTTCGCTCTAGGCTGGCTTCCATTATTGGCGCAATATTGGCAATAGACACCAGCCCAATTAAGACTCCAGGTTGGCTCGCAATTAATATCGACTAATACCGGCTATAGGCAATATTGCTTCGTCAGTATTGCAAATTTTGGTGAAGCATTGTCTCCCCGATATTGCCCTGCCATCATTTATTCGATATCGAACGGATGGGACGAACAAATGTGCCTTAGTTGCACTTTAAAGTAAAAAGGAAACGAAGTTCTCCTCTAGACCACTAGATGGTACTCGGTACATTTAAGGTACGACTTGGCTCATCTAACGGACCGTAATGAGTACATTGAGTACCAATATAGAGAAGAGAGTATAATTAGAGGCGACACTCCGCTCAAATCCCATTCATTGACAGGGTCGCAATATACCGTACCGTACATGTAGATGTCACTGTCGATCCTCCACCTAGCGTGCGCACAGCAACAACTCCTCCATGGCCAAGCAGCGGACTCAAAAAGACAAGCGTGTTACATTGAGGGATCCCTTTGGGTCGAATCCCCAAACGAGTCGATTCCCGATTCCGCTGTCACGAAGCAAGCCTCATGGAAGTGTTGTTGACAACAAGCTACAAGATTTCTCTGTAATGTTTCGACCCCGCCCCCCCCCCCCCACACCTTGGAGTGTCGCCTCAAGTTATACTCAAGATAGTCAAGAGCTACTCTATGCTACTACCAGTCTCGAAGGAAAAATGTATCAATATAAATCAAATTTATCTGACATGTGTGATATTCGAGTCTCTTGGGCCATTCTTGGCTAAATTGATTGGCCTTCCTCTGGCCGATGAGACATTTCGGGATTGGCCCATTGTTGGCAACCTATTTTGTCCCAAGCACTTTGCCGATGATATGCCATGTTTGGGTCAATGTAGATTGCTTATCTGGGAAATAACTAGGAGCCAAGTCCGAATAGTTGAATGGCTGATGAAGCACGAGGATTAAAGTAGGTCTGAAACGGCTGAAACTACAAAAGGGAGAAATTTTCAGGACATTTAAAACAGCGTTACGAACAAACCACAAGCACTGCTGATGATTCCAAAAAGACCAGTGTCAGCAATGATTCCAGCGGCTAAAGAATCAACGAAAAAATGGTGTAGATGCTGAAGAGGACTACTTTGAAGGATATACCCATCAGCAGCTGCCTTAATAGCACATAACATTGAAACAACATGGATTCAATGTTTATGTATTACTTGGGTGGAGTTACCACAACATCATTTAAAAAAATTAGTCTTGAAAAATTTCATCACACCTGGTATACCAAAGGTATATAAAGAGTAAAATTGCAAAACAACCTATAGTATGAACCTATAAATTGAGGATCGTGGTATCCAGATTTTATATACAATCTTTCCTCTTAGGAATCATGGCTGGGTCAAACCTATCAGGCGACCTGAAAGATGTTTCTAGGAGCATTCCCATCGGAACATTATCTGCAACAATTACTACTTCAGCAGTGTATCTGAGCTGTGTACTCTTCTTTGCTGGTAGCGTTAATGGCTTGCTTCTAAGGGACAAGTGAGTAGGAGGAATACTTCCATAAGTTCATAGAGAATTCTTATTCTTTTCAATATTGTTCATCCTGAATTATAGGTTTGGGGAAAGCGTTGGCGGAAAATTAGTCGTAGCCAGCCTGGCTTGGCCAAACCAATGGGTCATTCTCGTGGGATCCCTTTTAAGTACTATAGGTGCGGGAGTGCAGTCACTTATTGGAGCTCCACGGCTACTCCAAGCAATTTCCCATGATGATATCATCCCATTCCTTCGACCTTTCGGTGTTTCGGCTGCAAATGGCGAGCCACGACGTGCCCTATTTGTCACCTGGGGTAAGGCTTTCGTTTCTGGATCGCATAGCGAACTTTCGGAACAATGGTGAACATTCTTTCCCGTTTTATTACAGCAATCTGCCAGATCACAGTTCTGATTGGGAATGTGGATGACATCAATCCCCTTCTGTCTTGCTTCTTCCTCATGTGTTATGGATTTGTGAACCTTGCCTGTGCTTTACAAACCTTGCTTCACACTCCAAATTGGCGACCTCGCTTCGAGTATTACCATTGGTGAGCGCTAACATTTTCAGTGGACCATCGTGAAAACTTCAGGGAAACAGATTGCTCACCTCATATGGCATCTGCTTACAGGACCCTGTCATTCCTGGGTCTGTCTCTATGTGCAGCCGTCATGTTCATGTGCTCTTGGTACTTTGCTCTTGCTGCCATTGGTCTTGCCGTCCTCATCTACAAGTACATTGAATACCGTGGGTGAGTGACGTATTACATTGCATTTGGTGTTACTCTAATGGCATGCAATATGAATTAATTGCATGGATCCTTGTTTCGTTTGTGTGCAGTGCTGAGAAAGAATGGGGAGATGGGATTCGAGGACTTGCACTGTCAGGTGCTCATTTTGCACTCCTTCGTCTTGAGGAAGGACCTCCTCACATCAAGAATTGGAGACCACAGATCCTTATTCTTGCCGAACTTGATGACCACTTTTTCCCTAAACATAAGAAGATGTTTGCTTTTGCTTCCCAACTCAAAGCTGGCAAAGGTCTCACTATGGCTGTTTCTGTCATCGAGGGTGAATATAGCAGAAGGTATTCCCCAAATGCTGCTAGTTCATTTTGTTGGCTTCTGGAGTTTTTTTTTTCCCTGACAACCAATTTGTCATCTAGCCATGAGGAAGTCATAGCAGCGAAGCAGAGCCTAAGGAATGTCATGAATGAAGAACGAGTGAAGGGCTTTGTGGATGTTCTGGTTTCAGAAGACGTGATTGAAGGCATGAGTTATCTGTAAGCTTATGTACCTGTTCAGGCGATCCAAAGTGATATCTCTTTTCCCTCTCCATTGAGAAATCTTTCCTGCTGTGATTAAAATAGGATCCAGATGAGTGGAATTGGAGGAATGAAACCAAACACAGTGTTTTTGGGATGGCCTGAGGACTGGCGAAGTTCTTCAGATGATGAATCATGGAGAGCGTTTATTGAAGCTCTGAGAACTGTGGCTGTAGCAAAGATGGCTGTGCTTATTCCCAAGGGCATCAAATGTTTCCCCAACTCCAATGAAAGAGTCTGTGGGCCTCCACTGTTTACGAGCTGTATGTTCTTGCAATTTTCTTGTCACCTTGTGTCTGTTATAGGTGTCAGGATACATTGACATCTGGTGGATAGTTCATGATGGTGGTCTCCTCATGCTTCTCCCATTTTTGCTCTGCCAATGCAAGACATGGCGCAACTGTCATCTTCGCATATTCACTGTTGCTCAGGTCGGCGAGAATTCAGTACGGATGACTGACCGTCTGAAGAGATTCCTCTATCAAGTGCGAATTAAAGCCGATGTAGAAGTAATCGAGATGGTCTGTTCAGTTGCTTCTCATTTTCAGATTTGTATTTTTGATTAACTGCAATGATTTCACCGTTTAATCTCTTTCAGAGTGAATCAGACATTTCTGCTTACACAATTGAACAAGTCTTGAGAATGGAACAAAGGACGCAGATCATTCGAAAACTAGGACTCACACGAAAGGAGAGTAGCAACTTGGTGAGTTGGTTAAATCGGGGTGCGGAAAGAACATCGCGAACAAAACATCGCGAGGAAGTACATCTCGGAAAAAAACCTTGCGAGGCGATAACATCGTTCAGTAAAAACATCGCATGACGATAGCATTGCGTGGGGCTCTCAAGGCTTTGCGAGCAAAAAGTGAAGCTTTACTTCATTCGGTTCTTTGCCTTCGTTGGAAGCAGACGCGTTTCATCTCGTTTTTTCAGGCAAGTGGATTTCATGTCAGTGAATTTTAATTTAAGATAAGTCATTTAATATAATATTGTAATTCTGTTACCCTCAAACAAGGTGTGAGCTAAGGCCTACTCAGGCCGGTTCGTGGTTAATGAAGATTTGCTTCCCTGACAGACACAGTGAGTGTCATCTAAAAACAAAAATATAAAGAAAAAACTAGGGTGTACCGGTGGCAACATTTGACCGGTGGGCCAATGGCCAATTTTTTTTCTCGTAACTATCGGCCTGTTCCGATTCCGGTACCCATTGTGGCCTGTAGAAGAAATCACCTTTAAAATCAAATAGGCCTAATTGCAAGCCATGTGGTACCTATCAGAAGGCTTCCTTGAAATTATAAAGATTACTTTTGGTCCTGTTCAGCCTGTCTGTCTCTCGACGCTTCTCTCCGTGGTTAGTTTGCTACTCATTGCTGCAATTGAGAGGATTTAGTGACACATCCCTTGCAAAAGCATTACATAAATGGAGATGCAATGATTTCCCTTCTTTACCGTTATTTTCCTCGCCGGTTCCTATAATACTGCTGTAACATAATCCGATCGATATTTTTGGCTGGGAGAGGCTGGCAGGAGTGGATTTCAGTGAGACAGGAGGGCAGGCGCCGAGGCATGTTCATACCCTTATGTAATTTTTTTCGCTTTGCCCGTCCTTTAGACACCAGCACCATTGTCATAGGCCGATGGTGCCGATAGTGCAACACTGGCGACCGATACCGGTGTTAGCCGATACATCGGTACAGCCCTACTATAAACGCATTTTATTAATATGGTGCTGTGGTGGGATATTGGGTTGTTTTCTACTAACAATAACCACGCTATTGCTACCCCTGATAAGCTCCGACCCGAATATACATTCTTAGAGAAGTGTGAACGATTTCCGAGAAAGGGAGCGAAACTGGAATTGACGATTTTATTCCCTAAGAACAAGGGAGTTATGTCCCTCGCCTCTCTTTCCTGAGAATAACCACTAAATTCTTCTACTGGTTTGAAAAGTACTATCCCCCTTTCGTCTTGCGCTCTTAATATAGTTATGGATTCTGCTCATATAAAGGAGTAGTAATCGATCGTACTTCCTCGTTTTTGGGGAGTAAAACCACTAACTCCAGTTTCTCTCCCTTTCTCGGAAATCGCTCACTCTTGTCTAAGAGTGTATGGAGCACATCATCTTCTCAGATGAGAAGATCCCCATTCAGCACAACAACGTTGTGTCAACGTTGAAAATAGGTTGAAACGTTGAGACTTGGTTGAAATTAAGAATTCGACGAAAAATCTATATACGAGGGGTGTTCGAAAAGTAATAGGAATTTATTTATCAAACAAGAACGATTAGACCTAAGGTAACAAGAGTCAGCCCATACGTAGGCCAACATGTAAGCATTAGGACCTGTCAATGCCATTCAATACACTCAGTCCATTCTCGATTTATAGGCTGTGCTGTCCCTTGCTATTTTTCTATTATGGAAGACGCGGTGAAAAATCAAAGGTCAATAATGTTCTTTTTGTGGAAGGAAGGAGTCAAAACTGTTGATATTGTCAAGCGCTTGCAGTGTGTTTTCGGAGATGCTGCTGACTCAAAAAGCACAGTTTATTTTTGGATTAACCGCTTCAAGAGTGGTCGGCAAAGCCTTGATGATGACCATCGGACTGGAAGGCCCTCCACTTCAGTTAATGAAGAAAATGTGGCAGCCGTGGAAGAGCTTGTGATGGAGGACAGGCGAGTGACCGTGCGAGAGATTGCCAGGGCCCTATGCATCAGTTTCGACTCTGTTCACTCGATTCTGCACAACCATTTGGGCATGAGCAAAGTTTCAGCGCGATGGGTACCTCGGCTGTTGGGGCCAGACCAGAAGCTCAACCGTACAGTG